TCAGCATGTAACTTAATATGATTCTTTTTTGAGGGATTTGTATAAGTTTATTGAAAATCCAAAAGACGAGCACTCGAGTGGTAATAAAAACAAAGGAATTGTAAAATCTAACAGCAATTATAACAAAGAATTACGTCCAAAAAACAGTATCCCCAAAAAAGAATCCTCCACCACTAAAACCAAATGATCCATCCTGTCAAACATCCTACTTCTTTCTTCTCTCAAAACATACCAAACACCTTGAGGGCAAAATCATTATATAAACAAAGAAAAACCCCAGCTAACGTCCTTGATGTAACACCCTTAAAATCAAATTGTTCATGCTGAGACTGTTAAGGACTGGTGTGATAGAAGTGGATGTACACCACCTATTCGCCAACCACTACTCATGCCTCAGGTTGTGAACATGCAACGCACCAAAGGTGCTCAAAAAGAGATGGATGCAAAACTACATATTTACCTAACCCAAAAAGGTTTATACATCAATGATGCCTCAAAACGTGCACCTCACAAGATAAGGTTTCCCCTTTTGATTCTAGCACAGCTTTTTAAGTTCCAATTAACAGTTAAATCCCGACCTACCTCACTGATGTGACAACTGAATACGTGTGAAGTCTCATCGAATAAACAAAAAGACTTGAGACTATGTATGAAGTCCATGAGATAGAAAGGGTTAAATGTCATTACCATGGGAACTACAATATCTTCCTTTCCCGTGCTCTTCAAAAATGTGTAAGACAGCAATCCAATGCTCTGTGTTGCACTAAAATCAATGTCAACATGTCTCAATGAGTTTCAGAAGTAGAAAAATTAGTAAAAGCATAGAAGAAAAAAAAATTGATTTTTTTTTTTAATAAAAGAGAGAGAAAAGTGGTACCTATGACCATAAATACAAAATAACATAATTATCTTCACACTTTTTTTTCAAGTACTGGTTTTAACTAATACTGCTTCAGTCACAAAAACTGAAAACAAGCCTCATTCACCATAACAGGTCTAAACGCACTTGAGCAACAAATGATACACATATTAGACTGCTTAATAGTTCCAGATAATTAATCATTCTCATTTTATAGACAGTCATTCTCCATGCCAAAGTGGATACAAGAGATGAATGCAGAAAAGTCTATAAGCAATCATCATTTCTCAACCTTACATGCAACTACAAATTCATAAATCCATCCATCTTTCCACATAAGCTGAAGAAAATAACCGTTACTAACCAAACAGGAAAAGCAATGTGAAAGAAACAACAATAAACAAATATGAACAGAAAGAAACCTTTTTCCATCTTTTCCATTGCAACGAGAGAACACGATTACATCTGCTCCAAGCCTCATGGTGCTTGTTTTAAAACCATTTCCATCTGCATAAACAAGCAACTAACATGATTTTTGGGAGATATATCTATAAATAGAAAAACAGAGACACTTTGGTTTAATACTGGTGTTATACATTGTCCTATAGTGTTTGCGACTTTGCTTTTCGCAGAATACCCCAATGACATGCAGTGCCGCATCTTATCAGGATCCATCCCACCACCGTTATCTGCAATACACATCAAATGGATTTCCCAACAAAAAAAGAATAGAAATTATGAATAAAAGTAAAACCTCTTAGCATTCTCCGAAATACAACCAACAGAAAAATACCTTCAATCAGCAACATTCTGCTTTGGTCTTTCTTATTTTCAACCATATCTAGGTTAACATATGTCGCACCACTACAAACCTGTGGATAAGATGAAGAAATAGGTCCAAGCAGTGAGGAAAAAAACCCATGCACACAAAAACATAACGAAAATTATGAACGAAAAGCTACCTCATCCAACGCATTGTCTAAGAGCTCCGCGAAAGCTGCAAAACATCACAGGATTACACTCAAGCATTAAGCATAGAGATCAAAATCCAGCATTACACAGGAACAATTAAATTTACCTCCAAGAGCCCACTTATGGCTTGTTGCGTTGGAATGCAAAAACTTCGGATGAACCCTGACATGGTCCATCCCACCTGCATATTTATAAGTAAACTTTGTTGAACATCATATTTGCAGCCGTACTTGATCCATATAAAAGCACCATTAATCATGCTACCCTCTTCAATTTGGGCAATAGACCCCATGTCAAAGCAAAACCCACTCTTGCATGTCAAGAAGGACTCTTTTAACTAAGTGAAGAAGTAAACTTCCATCGTAGTGTCTCCATATCCATAGGACGAAAATATTTAAAATTTTATCGGAAATCAAACAGATCATAGTAAAAACTTGTGAAAATTGTCGGATGATCCGTAGGCGGGGACCAATTATAGTAATTTGTTTCAACCGAGAGATAAACAAAGACAAGGATAATCTTTCTAAAACAAGAAAAAAGAAGCACAAAGAGAACAATGTAGCAGATTTTGAAGAGCGAGAGAGAGCTTTAGATTACCAGCAGTAGATTCCCAGTTGCCACAAGGAGCTCCCTCATAATCCCCAGCCTTCCAGAACTGCTTACAGCTAGGCCGACTGACCACCATAGTATTTTCGACGCGCGTTACCGCCGCATCTGGCTCCGGAAGCATCGGCGCCACCCCCTCCGGGGGCAGAGGACTTAGAAAACCAACCGGCAAAACGACACCCATCCCGTCTAGCTTCCTCTTCTTCGCCAAACCCCCCGAAACGCCTCCGACATCGTCCGAATCGTCCGAGTCCGAATCGCCGCTACTGCTGCTGCTGCTACTACTCGTGCTCAGATCGATTACCCACCCCGGTGGTGGCACCACCTTCGAAGTGACGCCGTTTAGTTTCCCCGTAGGATGTGGAACATTAGAAGTTTCCAGAAGCTCCTGCTTCACCGTGGCTTCCATGGCTGATAGCTTGAAAACAGGAAACTCAAAAGGCGAACAACAAAGAAGAATTTATGGAGGTGTTTTTTCTTTTCCGCTTTCCCCCTGCACTCCTTTGAGTTTTGAGCTTTAAACTTTTCTTGTTCATTTATTGATGTGGAGATCATCAAGTCACGGGTGGGATACTACTATGCGGACGAGTGTACGGGAATCCAACTGCAGCTCATATTATTACACACACACACCTAATAATTAGGACAAAAATTTAGTGGTTAAGTCAAAATAAATGGTAACAGATGTGGTTCTGGCTCATTCCTGATTTGGTAAATTATAATTGAACTATATGGATGGACCATACTCCTTAATTAATTGTTAATACAATTGACTAATACAAGTCGATTCTGGATTATGTTATAAACTATATGTAGTGGATGCCCACCATATGTCACATCATACCCAACTCTACCTACCATGTAGCTCGCCCTCCATTGCATTTGTATTCTAAATGCCTATAAATGGCCAAACAACCCAAAAAGTGATGGAGATTATGGGTATGTACTTCAACTTTTTAAATGTGTGGGTCCTATATCAGTTATGCAATTTCTCTAGTGATATTTTTTTGGGGAATGCTAGCAACATTCTTTCCAACCTTCTCTTTTGAACCTTCTCCTTTTTCTTCATGACATGTGTCCATTTCTTTACACTTAAAACAATGTAATTAATGCATCAAACAAGCCATCATTAGTTTTCCAATTTTACCCTTATCAAATATATTGATTTTACTGTTTTCTTTAATTTATCCTTCTTCTTTTTTTACAAACTTCTTACCACCTTGTTAAAAATTAATTAAGAAAAAGCGTTTTTTTTAAGGACTCTAAAGGCAATGAGACATTCAAATAAGACTTAAAAATTAAATAAGAAAAAACGTTAGTTTTATTTTTTGTTGCCTGAAAGATTCCAAAGGGAGTAAGGAGAGACATTGGTTTAAATCTAAAATTTGGTATGCCAGAATTTTAGGATTTTTTTTTTCTTTTCAAATAATCAGACTCCAAAGGCAGCAAGGGATATAAATAAATATAAATAAAACTATGAACTTCCTATGGAATCTGGTTATTTGGGGTTATATATATATATATAGTTGTCACTGAAAATGCTCTTTAACTTTATTTAATAGTATAAAAAAATGCAATTAATGAACTTCCTTTTGAAGGAAGTCTTTTTTCAGTATAAAAATGTGATCTTTCTATTGAGTGTTTTTTTAGGTCATTCTTTTGTGTTTAAAAAAATAGAAGTTTTATCTCTTAAAAAAAATAGACATTTTTTTTTTAACTGACATTTTTTATTATTTAATTTTCTACATATGATAAGAGAGTTGTAAAATTGTTTTTGAACAAATTGAAGGACAAAACATTTAATAAGGGGAAACTTGGGAAACAAATGTTAGCTTGTTTGATGCATTAGTTACATTGTTTTAAGTGAAGGAAAGTGACACATGTCATGAGGAAAAGAGAGAAGGTCCAAAGGAGAATGTTGGAGAGAAGGTTGCTAGCATTCTCCATTTCTTTTTTCAAGTTCAATTATCTCATTCTTCATTAATCAATAATAAAATTGATATTAAAAGTTGAAAAAGAAAATTAAATTGAGATACAAATTGGGAACATCTTCAATTGTACTTTTATTTATTTATAGACTTTTCCTATTTTCAATGGTACTTTTAAATGTAATTAAGCAAACAATTTTTTTAAGGTTATACGATGGTTGCACCTGTAAGTCTCAATTATTGTGAGAAAGTTTATGCACGTGACAAATTATTCTTTAGATAAACTTAGACGATCTTATCTTCTTATCATGTGGATAAACTTGAACGATCTTATCTTCTTAAGATATTATCCTTCGGATAAACTTAGACAATCTTATCTTCTTATCATTTGGATAAACTTGAACAATCTTATCCTTTTGATAAATTTGGACAATCTTATCTTCTTATCATTTGGATAAACTTGAATGATCTTATCTTCTTAAGATACTATCCTTTGAATAAACTTGGATGATCTTATATTCTCATGATATTTATCTTTTGGATAAACTTGAATAATCTTATATTCTTAAGATATTTACCATTTGAATAAACTTAGATATTCTTATCATATATTATGTGCCGAGGGCTTGTCAGCTATGATTAAGAAGCAGGAAGAGCGGGGTGCCTTGCAGGGCTTCCGATTTCATCCTCAAGGAGGTAGTATTTCACACTTGTTCTTCGCCGATGATTCGGTTATATTTTGCAAAGCTAATGAACGTGAGGCTAGGTGCTTGAAAAATATTCCAGTTGACTATGAGAATGGGTCAGGTCAGTGTATTAATTTTGATAAAAGTTCCCTCTTGTTTGGGAAAAAATGCCCAGCTCGTGTCCGGAAGCAAGTGGGAGAAATATTACAGGTACAACAAAAGGATGGGTTCGGACGATATTTGGGCCTCTCTGCAGATTTTGGTGCGTCAAAACAGCGGGTCTTTGAGGAGGTACGCAACAAAATTAATGCCAAGCTTATAGGGTGGTCTGAACAATATTTATCGCAAGCTGGGAAGGAAGTGCTAATCAAAGCCGTGGCCATGGCTATGCCGAATTATGTTATGTCATGTTTTCAGTTACCCATTAATTTATGCAAGGAGATTGAGAGGGAGATCATTCGGTATTGGTGGAAGGGGCACAAGGAGCATAAGGGTATCCACTGGGTTGGTTGGCAACGTCTCAGTATGTTGAAAGAAGCTGGGGGTATGGGCTTTCAGGACCTTAGATGCTTCAACCTAGCCATGCTTGCAAAAATTGGTTGGCGAATTATCAAACACCCTGACTCACTGCTGGCCATTACTTATCGGGACAAGTATTTTAGATCCTCAGATTTCATAAGCGCTGGTGGTGGTAGAGGGACGTCGTGGGGGTGGAAAGGTATTTTGCAAGGACGGAAAATATTGGAGACAGGCATGAGATGGCGTATAGGCAATGGACATCAAGTTCATACCTGTATAGATAAATGGGTACCCTCCCCTTCTTCCTTTAAGATTTATTCTAGACACCCAGAGATACCTATTTTGGTGCAGGGACTTATTGACGATCAAACGAAGATGTGGAATCGAGATCTTATTTTGCGGTGTTTCAATAGTGCGGAAGCCCAGACCATATTATCATTACCTCTTAGCAGGTGGGGCTGTGATGACAGACTAGTGTGGCATTTTACTACGCATGGTGGATACTCAGTTCGTACCGGCTATGAACTTGCTCTAACCTTACGGAAAAGTGGTGAGTTGGGGGGGAAAGCGGAAGGGGAGTGCAGTTATGGAAATGATCGGAAGAAATTTTGGAAGAGCATTTGGAGATTGCAAGTACCGCCTAAACTTCGAGCATTTGTTTGGAGGAGCTGTCGAAATGCTTTAGCAGTAAAAGGAAACTTGCGGCGTCGATCAGTTGATGTTGATAATACCTGCGTCCTTTGTGGCTGTGAAGGAGAGTCTCAAGTCCATATTTTCTTTCGATGTGAGCATGCTAGAGTTTTTTGGTTTGGAAGTTCCATACAGCTGGATGCTTCACAGTTGATTGGGGAGGAGTTTAGTGAGTGTTGGGACAACTTATTACAGAAGTATGAGAAGCATCAGAACTCTCAAGAAATTTTACAGGTGGTGGTTTTTGGGTTATGGAGGTTGTGGAAAACAAGAAATAGTGCAATGTTTGAAGGCTCTGTCATGGACCCTACAACGATGGTGGGATGTCTCCATTCGTAGGTGCAAGAGTATCGGGTTGCCCGGATGGCTGCCAAGCCATTGATTAACGAGTTACCCCGTCCGCCAGATCGTGTTCAACAGGTGCCTACTGCGTGGACTAAGCCGCCACATGGTTGGGTTAAGGCTAATTGTGATGGAGTTTGGCTACAGCAGACGCAAAAGGGAGGGGCTGGTTGGGTTATTAGAGATTCTGATGGGTGGCTGGTGCAGACAGGGGGTGTAAGGGGATTATGGGGTAGTACGGCCTTAATGATGAAGGCGGAGGCGATAAGAGAAGCGTTGCTGGCTTGCATTAGGGGTCGACTGGTGTATGTGGAGATTGAATCTGACTCGATGCAATTGATCCAGATGCTTAGAGGGGAGTGTCAAGTCGATGTTGCGGTGGAGGCTATGGTGTTCGATATTAAGGTGCTTGCTGGCAGGCTCCAACAGGTTGTTTTTTTAGCTACTCCCCGTCAGTGTAATAAGGCAGCGCACGAGGTTGCGGCCTTTGTGTCTAGAGTAGGTGATAACCACATTTGGGACCGAGTGTGGCCCGAGTGGATCTTTGATATTTTAGTTAGTGATGTAAACTTAGCTATTCGTCTCTAATAAAACTTTCTTCGTTGGCAAAAATAAATAAAAAAGATATTCTTATCATATAATAATTAAAAGTGTATCCTATCACTATATGACTATCAGAAGAAGCATAACCTCATGATCATAGTTTCTAACATGAGACCTAAGAAAAAAAAAGATGAATAGAGGGCGTGTTGGTGGAGACTCGTGGATAAGTTGTCTTATCATTTGTTTTTAGGGTTCTCGATATGAAGCTAAGTAGATGTAATGAAAGTTCATCATGGAATTATTCTATTTAAAAATATCTCTATATTTCAAGTCAGACATATGTCTTATTTGTGAATCAATTTTGGTTATTTTAACCTCTATTTCAGTCTTGTTATTTTCACGCACTGGTTGAAGATAAATCCGGGCTGCACATATAGGTCTGACTCATTGCGAGAAAACTATCACATAGGACTACTCCACTTCATAATTTTCTCTTTTTTATGATCAAATAATACTCATTATCACGTTGTCCAAGATAATTTTTTTTAAAGCATCTTTATGTTTTACGAGAAATTATTTCTCTCACACTGTCCAATATAACTTTTTCAAAGCATCTTTACATTTTACAAAAAAACGCTTCTCATAGCATCTTTTAATAAATGAATGTTTTGAAAAAGTTATCTCGGACTAATATGAATGAGTTTCAATAAACATGTGGAAATAAGATTATGTAGAGAATCACGGAATTTTGTTCATCAACGAGATAGAGATTCTAATTCCAACATTGATAAAAATAAATACCACCAGACCAAAAAAAATTTCAAATTTTTTTTACTCCCTATAGGGTTTTATATGGTCCAATCACCTGTATCCTAGTCTCGTAAGGATTTGGGTAATCAAAGCCAAAACCTTTTCTAATTCTCCAATTTAGTAAATATTAATTAGCAATGTTCATTAACAATAAATTGTTATTCACTTTGGCGGAGGAAAAATTTGATGTTACTTTGAAGATGTTATTTTTAATGTTGTAAATTCATAGCATGCAGCCAGATTTAGCACTTACCTTGTAGAATAATCTGAATTAGTAGGAGATCTTGCCATCACAGAATAATCCAGCACCAAATCAGCTATAAGATTTTGCTCCTACTTGATCCACGTACCCAAGGCTTAAGGTGAAACGTGAGAGTGATTGCCCTTAAACAAAGCATATAGAGAGAATGGTTAGTTTTATGAGAAAGATAGGGGGAGACAAAATTTTCAAGATGGAGAAATTTTTTGTGACTTATAAGATTGAGTTTGAAGTGCAACTCAACTTACGAATCATCGCTCAACATGAGGTCTTATGTTCGATTCATTCTCTTATATAAAAATCTAGTTAAGTCAGGTCATTTATGGTTACGGTTACAGGTAAGAGTAGACTTAGGCATGTTGGGTTGGGGTTGGACTGAGAGGTCTTATGTTTGATTCATTATCTGAAATATAATATAGTTGAGTTGGCCCATTTATAGTTACAAGTGTATGGGTCTTTTTATTCCAGCAGCCTGACGAATGGGCTTGGGCTGCTAAAAAGAGAAACAGGTGAAATTACCCCTTGAGTATGAGTTCAAAGATCAGACCCCAAGAATGCTTCGAAAGGGTAGCGAAGCTTTAGGAAACATCCTGGTTATCTTTACCAACAAAAACAACAACTGCTTACAGGTAGATTCTTAGCTTGGCATGAAAAGCTTGTGGCATCGAAGCAAAACCATCATGAGTTTAGCATAAACAGAGAGAGAGAGCTGTGAGTTCTTATGAAAAACAGGGGTCCTAAGAAAAGGGAGAAGGGATTCTAAGAGGGTTTGTTGAAGTGGGAGAGAGAAGAGAGAAATAATGGGTGTGTTGAGTAGTTTCCGGTAGCTTGACGAAAACTCTGTCAGGTAACAAAACAGTCTGCCATGAGGGAAAAATAAGGGGAGTATGATGAACAGGGCACGAAATTGCTGGGTTTTGGAAGCAAGAGAGGAAGCTTGCTCTCTGGATGTGGATCGAGTGAATTTCCAGTTGCTTGACGAAGCTTGGTCGCACTCTGGATTATGATTTTTGCTAGGTACAGGAAGCTCCATTTTATAGGTACTTAGAACTCTAATTCTATCAATCCTCCATTCCCACTTTTCCTTTGCTTCTTTCCATTCACTCTTTTTTGGTGAAATTTCTTTAACCAGAGAGCATGGGTCACAAGTTCTTTGGGGTTCCAAGGTTTTTTGTGAGGCTGGACCTTCATATGGGGATGAGGCGCCACCTGCTTTTCTTTTTGGTTTCCCTATTAGAGCTCGCAGAGGAAAGGAGAATGGATAGAGATTTTGCCTAATGGATATTCCTCATACACGTACAAATTCCCTTTGGTTTTTCTGATGGCTTGCGTTGAGTTTGTCTTTGGCCATGTGCTAAAGTCTCCTAGCAGCCTGAGCATACAAACATCTCCTGGTTTTCTATCGTGGTTTTATTTCAAACCATGTGCTGGAGATTTTGTGGATATTTTCTAAGCCACTTTGTCTATTTGGGCCTTCCTAAGGTATTGGGTCATCTCTTCTAGAGTATTGGGCGTTTTTCTTTCTTTTATGTTTACCCACATATTTGGGCTCAAGAAATAGGCTTGAGTTTTGAGGCTCCCAAGCAACACAAAACTTCAATTTCTCGGCTCATCAATGGGCCTCATGAAAGCTCGTTACCATCCATACCACAACCCACTCAAGCAAGCCCCGGGCATTTTGAGTGGCTTAGGCCCATTTAAGCTTGTAGCGTGGCTAGGTGTAATAATAATAATTTTCCGCTTGGCATTGTATGTCGCTTGTCGTGCTTGAATTTTGTCGCTTTGAAGAGGGATATGACGCTTGATAATTAGCTTGGGCTCATAAAGCCAATGCTTATTTCAACTCTTAGTATGATAGATTGCATATTTATTTAGCATGGCACGTGAATCATGACTTGTGCGAGCGTGAATGACGAACTTTCACGTGCTCCAAATCGGGTCTTTTCTTAATAAGGCATTGCGTTGGGCCGAGAATTTATTTGGGCTCAACCCTGAATTTTTGGGCCTAAACAACAGGCAAGAATGGAATTCAACCTGTTGCGCTCGGGTTGACCCTATTCGGCATGCAGACAAATAATTCTACCATTTTAAAGGCGGTTATACTCTTTAAATAAATTCAAATATTTAAAAGGCAAAACTTTGTGTCTCCTCCTCCTGTTGCTATTCTACCTGCCAGAATGGGGAATGATATGGTTAGAGTTTTGTCATGGGGAGGTGGTTTGGGCTCCGTGGAGAGACAAGGAGGACTTTGCACAATTTTGCAACACATAGAGCATAGTGCAGTAACCATTCTTGATCGTTGGAAGGCAGCAATTGTAAATCAATAGGGGAAGAAACTCCAATTGCCAAAGTTTATGAACAACTATCTCAGTAAGTAATCATATTACCTTGTGATCATTTGGTTTATAAATGGGATACACTCAGAGTAGTTAGTTGGAGTGCCAGATTTTGGTTGGATTTTGCAACTCTAGTAATAGAAAGAAGAGCGAAGGCCAAGTAGCTTCAGATGGGTGCTTTTCGGTCTACGTTAGGCCTCAAAGACAACAATTTGAGGTGAAGACGTCGATCCTACTATCAATTTTTTTGAATCTAAACAAAAACCTTTAAAGCCGATTGTAAATCTAAACAGAATAAGTTGTGAATCTAAACAAAAAAACAGAATAACAAAACCAACCCTAAACCAAGTTGTGAATCTAAACAAAATAAACAGAATAAGTTGTCACAGTAAAGTAAACAAAATAAGTTACAAATCTAAACAAAAAATAGAGTTACAATAATACAAAAGTTCAAATTAGCATGCATTTCAAATATAGAAACCCTTAAAGTCGATTATGAAGTAAAATAAAACCAACAAACAACCAAAACCCAAGTCCTTGACAGAAAACCGAGGTGGCTAAGAGTTTAATGAACTTTACCATAACTGAGGAATTATTGCCTGTAATAAGAAGATTCTCAACATAAATCAAAAAATAATTTACAGCAATCCCATTTTTAATAGTGGTTAAAATAATGGAAAGAGAGTTAAGTGTCACTAATATAAGAAGAAGAAAAAAAAAGTAAAACGAGGGATAGTACCATATCAATTTGTAACAAACATACATGTACTGAACCTATGGCCTGAGCTTCATCTACAAAGATCAAGCCACATAAAGAGAAGACTTGGGAAGGCGACACATTCTCTAATCATTGTAATTGATAGGATTATTGGGATTATACCTCAACAGATAATGTAGCATTATATGTGCATCTTCACATAAAAAGGCCTTTAAAAAACTCATTTTCATCTTCCACAACTTGCAACATCATCATTTATTTGGTATGGCCCTTCAATATCTTTACATTTGTGTTGCCAAATACCATTCATTTGCCACACCTTTGCCTTCCAATGTAATCCGATATACATGATATTGGATATTCAACCAATTTAATTCGCCCACACAGTGTTTAGTTGTACTTCGTTAACCCCTGCAACAAAATCAAAATTCACACTTGTGCATCAATATAAGAATATGGGGCAAGGCCCCAAACATTACTATAAAGAAGTTCTAATGGCCCATGGCTTATAAGAGAAGAAGTACCAAAAAGAAGCCTATGACTTTTATTACATTGACATAAAGGACAAAAAGACTCGGACAATTTGGAAGACACGTGAACGGAGGAGGAACGAAGAACTTGTTGAAGAGTTTTAAGATTTGGGTGACCAAGACGCCGGTGCCACAAATTTGGGGAAACCACCACACCCACCATGGCCTGAGGTTGACAGAGAGATTAGGTAAACCACTCGTAGACATTGTCTTTATTCGGGCCTTGAAGAAGTACAGCCCCCGTGCTTAGATCCTTGACATGAAAGAAATAAGGAAAAAGTTCAATAGATTTGTTTGTTAAATTTGAAAATGAAAATAATTTTGTGCTTTATGGAAAAAATACAAAGAACATTAGATAGGGTAAAGGATTTTAAGGAAGAAGCAAGGAGAGAGGATGAACCGGCATGAGTAATAACCAAACCTGAACCATTACCAATAATTATTTCATCATGGTCATCATATGTAGAGACACCGAAGAGATTAGTGACATTGGAGGTAACATGGCAAGAGGCACCGGAATCAAGCAACCAGGTGAGAGAAGCAGTGGAGCTGTCATGGGAGGTAGAGATATAAGCATTGGCTGAGTTTGTGAGCAGGATTGAAGCTGGGGATAACGTTTGGCTCTATGACCTTGTGTACCACCATTGACAATAGCCACGGTAACCAATGTTGGTGTTGTCGTTTTGACGACTGCCATTGTCAGTGATGAAAGGTAAGGTGGATTAGAAGGAAACATGATAATTATTACGAAAGCGCAAGAGCCATGATCTTAATTGGAGTTGTTGGAGTGAGAACCACCGTGGGTGTTGGTTGGCTAGGAGCTTTGAGTGACATTGGCAGTGATGACAGGTCCGGCAATAGCAATGTCGGCACACGTGAGAGCAGTTTCATGTTCAACCAACATATCATGAAGATTTTCAAATGAAGTAGAGGAGTCACAGGAACGAACGATAGCAGCGATCTCCTTAAATTCAGAACCAACACCATTAAGACTATAAAGGAGAAGATCATCAACGAAAAGAGGGACGTCGATGATGACAAGTTCACCGGAGATAACCTTAACATCTTGCAAGTACTGAGAGACGGGCTTATTCTCATGACGCATTAGAGTAAGGCGTTCCTTGAGACCAAGAACATGAGCACGTGCTTTGCTAGCAAATAGATAGAGCAGCTTGTCCCAAGCCTTTTTGGAAGTCTTAGCAGAGGCAATAAGAGAGATGACTTGTGGTGAAACTGATGCAAGAATAGCATGGAGGAAAAGTTGGTCTTAACAAATCCAAAAGGCATGGGACGCAACTTGAGTGGTTGGTGGGGATGGACCAGAACCATCCACATAGCCCATAAGGTCATAGCTAAGAAGCAGATAGCTAAACTGGGCACGCCAAGAGGGGTAATTTATGGGTGTAGTTTGATTGGAAGTTGTGCGGCAACATTGATGGTGATTAAGAAGGTGGAGATGTTAGAGCTGGTGTCGGTGGCAGATGGGGTGAAAATTTCAGAAGATTCAATAGCCATGGACTATTGGAGAGAGAAGAAGAAAAAAAAAAAAAAAAAAAAAAAAAAAAAGATACTCATTAGAGCCTTAGGGCTATGATACCATAAAGAGGTTAAGAATAATGGTATATTTCATAGATAATTTACAAGTACAAGACTTATGATTATATAGAGTTGAATACAATACTAATAAGGTAAATACAATCAGAATTGAATGACTAAATCAATCTTGATCAAATCGAATAGGAAAGACAGCTATCACATGTCATGGTTAACTTTCGTATGGAAGAGCAGATGATTGTGGAATGATTTGGGTTGTTGATGAGGTGAACTCCTTTGATGTAGGAGATTCCCTGATTTATATACAACCATATCACCACATGAATCTTTCTTTTTTGTGGTTTTAATAGGATGCTTCTAGTTGGAGCATGGTTGTAAATGAACCTTGTTCAACGGAAGGGAACTTCACACAGTTTTGTCCATAACAGACTAAGGACCAATTGTTGCGCATTGTTTTTGCATTTTACAACTTTGATTTATAAGGATGTTTGGATTGAGGAAATCATATAGTACAAGGCTTGCAGTTGGGTATGAAATTACATGCTCGGCTCGATTTTGATTGCAGATTAGAATAGAATACTATGCAATGCTTAATTATGCTATACATAGTTGAATGCAGGTAACTGTAGGTTTTTTTTGGGGGGGGGGGGGGGGGGGGGGGAGAGGGAGAGCTTGAAATCAGTCATTCCTTGGCTTGTATGTCTTGACACTTTGTTTGGAAATGCAACTCAAGCCTTGTGTGTAGATGGGTGAATTGAAGCATGAATGGTTTTTTTAAGTTGGTGAGTCACAGCTCGGAGCTCATACGAGTCATATAAGGTGCTACAGTTGTGCTCGAGGCTCAGCCTCCATAGAAGGAATATATATATATATATATAAATAATATTGTCGCGCGGCTATACACTTTAAATATTAAAATATTTAAAAAGTATAGTTGCGTGATTATACTATTTAAATATATTTTAAAGAGTATAATCACTTTTCAAAGCGTACAGCCGCGCGGCTATACTGTTTAAATATATTTAAATATTTAAAGCGTATGGCCGTGCGGCTATACTGTTGAAATTTATTTTATTTTTAATATTCAAAGAGTATAGCCGCTCGGCTATACAGTTGAAATTTATTTTAATATTTAGAGAGTATAGCCGATTGAAACTTATTTTAATATTCAAAGAGTATAGCCGAGCGGCTATACGGTTGAAATTTATTTTAATATTTAACTATACGATTTAAATTTATTTTTTTATATTTAAAGAGTATAGCGGCTATACGTTTTAAATTTATATTATCGAATACAAATTAGCACTCAAGAAACCCAAAAATCAATCTTAGGTTTGGCTTTGCTTCGATTCCTACACTCTGAACTTTCCCTCTCTGCGTGGATCAAGCTAAGGCTAGGGTTTTCTCTGATCGGCGCGATCCATCTCCATCTCCATCTCCACGGAACGTCACTGTAAGTTTTTTTTTTTTTTTTTTTTTTTTTTTTTTTTTTTTTTTTTTCATTTTCTGAAATCTTCACGGTTCAATGTATTTATTGATTATTATTTCAAAATCGAGACACACTCATAGATATGTATTTGTTGCTACATATTAGACTATTCCGTTTGGTTTCCGAGAAATCGGAATAGAAAGTGAAGTATGAAGCGGGTTTTGTGTGTTGCTTTGGTCTCTAAAGATGGAGCCTGGGGGTGTTTTGTTTTTCCACAGGACAGGACTGTCATTTAAATTAAAATATCACTAAATTATGATACAACTGTGGTGGACTTTGTATTTCCTTTGTGTTTACATGTGTTTTGTATCTGGCTGTCACCTCTGAATTTTGATATGAAACCAATCATAGTAGCAAGTGCTTTGTATTTGGAATGATGTTTGTTTTACTCGTGAAATTTTTTCAGTTTTTTATAGGTTGTTGAAGCGGTTACAGTAAGTAGCACCTATCAACAGCATTGTTCAACTCTCTCTGTTGCACTTGCACATGATGAATTAAGTAGGATGATGAGTTGGGTTGTCAAATGAGTTTATGGCTTTTGATAATGTTATTGAATGATGCAACCATATTGGAATTGGAGGATATATGAGTTTGAGCCTAATTATACTGGGATTGGGCAGTTTGATGCTTATGTGAATGTAGATCAAACAAGTAGTCATTGAGGATGGATGATGATGGTGACATTGATATTTTTTTTTCCAATTGGAACAACAAGAATCCAACTGATCACCTTTTTATTGTCTCTTGCCATATCGCTACTCTAGTTGGAATTTTGACTATAGCCTACTCCGCATTCTAAAGGAGGAGAAATATCAATCTAAGTTGGATGAAGGCAATAGCCAGGTCAAAGAAAAATCCAAAGGCATGTCACAAAGTTCCTATAGCTCCTCATACTTGGGTTTAAGAATCGGTATCTCATGGAAAGAACTTGATTGCTGTGTATGCTTAAAGTCCATGAGCCCTTCTCCAACTGTTGGGCCTATGACAGCTTCAGACAGTTTTAGTCACCGTTGCAGTATTTGTGGTGCAGCGGCTCACCTAAGCTGCTCTTCTAGAGCGCACAAGGATTGCAAGTGTGTATGCATGATGGGGTATGAGCATGTGATGCACCAATGGGCTGTCTGTTGGAATGAGGTAACAGATCAACCTGATGAAACTTCTTTCTGCAGCTATTGTGAAGAGCCATGTAGTGGGTCTTTTCTTGGAGCCAGACTTCCGCTGGTGAATTTTTGAGCTCCATTACTCAGGGGGCCAATGAGATAGCATCTTCAGTACGTGCAACTATTAGGAGTCAGAGCAAGAAGTCCAAGCATGGAAATGAAACCTCTGTTGACATGGGAAATAGTGGTAGTACTGGGGATATGTCCACAGAAAGCACAGCTGATACTCATCAAGCTGTTAATGGTTCTCATGAAATTGAGGAAAACCGTAATGGTACTTTGAATGTGGATTTGCAGCACCAAGACGGTGATGTAGATAGGAAATTGGATTCTAAGCCTAGTTTCAAAATGAGCTCGTCAAGCAATAAATAAGAAGGTTGAGTCCCAGGTTTTAGGGATGAAACAAAAGTACGAGTTGATTGATTTGTCACCAGATTGAATATTTTTCTCAGGTTTTAGGAATTCACTGAGGCGACGATTGAATATTCTTCTCAATCCTGTTCAGGTTTGATTTCTCTACCATCTTGATTAGTTGGAAAAATATATTTGCCTTCATTGTTTAGCCAAGTGAGGTTTTTAAGTAAGGTTTAAGGTTTAAATTTCTGTGGTGTAAAAAAGATTTCCCTTCTTTTCTTTTCAAATGATCCAAGTAAGGTTATTACCAAGGCTTAAGGTTTAAATTTCCGTGGGTTTGAAAAATTAAGATTTGCTAGTTTAGTCCTTTAGCGAATCAGGAAGTCCTAACAGTAAATTCTAATTGCTGATGATTATCAACATCACATGCTGGGCTCTCTCCTCGGTTGATTTCTATGGAGTTTGGTGAACCTATTCCTTTATTATTATTTCTAATATATCATATATTGTTGCTTAATTGTTGCATGTGCTTGTGTTTCATGTAGGTTTTTGAGCTGAGTTCAACACAAGGACCGGGGGTGGGTCTTTATTTATTCAGAAAGGTGCTGCACTTCAGAATTCTTGTTTGTGGGGGAGATGGTACTGTTGGTTGGGTTCTGAATGCCATAGAAAAGCAAAACTTTGTCGCCTCATACAGTTGCTATTCTACCTGCCAGAATGGGGAATGATCTGGCTAGAGTTTTGTCATGGGGAGGTGGTTTGGGCTCAGTGGAGAGACAAGGAGGCCTTTGCACAGTTTTGCACCACATAGAGCATGCTGCAGTAACCATTCTTGATCGTTGGAAGGTAGCAATTGTAAATCAACAGAGGGGAAGCAGCTCCAATCGCCAAAGTTTATGAACTATCTCGGTAAGTAATCATATTACTTTGTGATCATCTGGTTTATAAATGGGATACACTCTGAGTAGTTAGTTGGAGTGCCAGATTTTGGTTGGATTTTTCTGGTTATCGGGTTCTTAGTATGTCTATAGTTGTTGACTTGAGTTATGGCTCCAACAAACTTCGCAAATCAGCTCACATTAGTTTTGTACCCCTAGTATTACTCGGTTGTATTGTGTCAGTTATCAATTGGTTTGTTGTTTATTATGAAAAATATTGTCAATGGGTCAGTTATCAATGGGCTGCTGAGGAGCCACTTGGTCATGCAGCTGCCATTATCACTGATGTTCTTGAGAATGCCGAGACCAACCATGTAATAAGTGCTGTGCAGAAGCAAGCTCTTGTTCAAGAAATGGCACTGAGGCTGACTTAGAAGTTTCCTCTTGCTGCTTGCTGCTTAGATTAGTAATCAAAGTTTTGATTGTATCTTCCTTTTCTTTCTTTCAGAAATGTTGACATGTTGCATATCACCACATGAATCTTTCTATTTTGTGGTTTTAATGGGATGCTTCTAGTTGGAGCATGGTTGTAAATGAACCTTGTTCAACATCAACGGAAGGGAACTTCACACAGTTTTGTCCATAACGGACTAAGACCAACTGCTATGCATTGTTTTTGCATTTTACAGCTTTGATTTATAACGAATGTAGCTGGGCGGTAATACTTTTGGAATTTTTTTTAGAGTATAGCCGCCCGGCTATAATATATAAATTTATTGCCCGGCGGCTATACTTTTTAAATTTATTTTAATATTTAAATCGTATAGCAATATATTTTAAATTTTAAAGCGTGTAGCCGCACGGCTATACTAATAGCCAGGGTTAAAATGAACTTTAATATTTAAAGAGTATAGCCGCGCGGCTATACGAGTTAAATATATTTTAATATTTAAAGAAAGTCGGAAAGTCAATAAAAGTCTATGCAAAGAAAGTGAGGCCCCAAGTCATCTACAAGATTAGAGATGAAAATAATTGGCCTCTGCGTGAAGATTGCCCGCTTAAAATTCGACTCAACTTAATTCTCAATTTCAATAAAGATTCCCATTGACAAATTTAATCCGGATTAAAAATTAATTGGTATCATAATTCAATTGACTTGTCTGTTAAAAATTCTAAATTTAAATTAGCATAAAGTAGCCCAAAACTCTAATAAATTAAAAAACAAGAGTCGTTCCAACGGCATTGCTAGCAATCCAACTTCTTGTTCTTTCCATTCTAACGGGGAAGAAATTCCGTTTAGGAAATGCTTCGCCGTTTCTATAACTGAATTAAATATTATAATTTGGAGTCATATGCGATTGAATTGAAAACTCTTCAATTCCGTTTCTGAATCAAAAAGAGTTTTAACAAAATTCAATGGTTTCCAATGCACGGCTACGTTAATGTGTTACCTCTAATTGCTAATTGATTGCTCCATTTTCGAGTAACTTCCCTTAATTGTGTTTGTATAGGTATGTATATAGTTGTGTGTGACTGTCACATTTAAGTATTTCTCGTGGTCAAGAGCAAGTCAAATTATGAATGAGAATTAATCTCACTCTTCGGATGTGAGGACATCTCATGATATTTACCATAAAAAATAAAAATAAAAAATGGCTCAAATTAACAAAGTATTTGAAAAGGGCAAAAAATAATAATAAAACTTTTTATCACAAAACGTCCCTGACGTCTAAAAAACTATTAGATTGCATCCTTAAGGTTTTTTTGTATCACTCATGGTCCCTAACGTTAATATGGGTGCTCTTAAATAGTCATTTTGTTTAAATAAAAAAAATGTTAAATCCAGAGATATAATCGTCAAATCAATCCCTTTTAACCTCCTTAATGCCTCATAAACTCACAGTTTTAGTGACGAAAAATCTGAAGAACACCGTCTCAGAAAATGTTTAGCCACGAAAAATCTGATGAACATCCGTTGCTAAAAACCTTTGGTGACGAAAAAGCTTCAAATTTCTGGGCAAAACAGCAACTGGGTTTTTTGGGTTTTAGATCCTCTTTTGAGCTTCAAATTGTTAACCGAAGAACAGCAGCTAGGTTTCTTAACAATGCAGGGCATGTTGTAATGAGGATGGTGATGAAACTTTGCTTGATTTGATTGAACGAAATTGTCAATTTTGGACTTTCTGGGATCAAACATACGTTTGAGCTGGTTATTGTTTTAAGCTGTCTACTCTTCTGGATCAAGTTTAAGTTCTCCTAAAAAGAAATTTTTGGATGGCTATTACAGAACTAGAATGCAGACACGAAATGCTGTTTTGGCAGCCCATCTCCTCCTTCAGAGTGTTGAGGCCACGTTGCCAAAGCAAAAGAAGAATGCATGCAGCTGTTACAGAATATAAGAATGCAATGGTTGCTCATAAGAGGCGCACTAAAGCCCGCCAAGAAGAAAACGGTAACATGATTTTACTTTTATGTTTGCTCATACCTCACCAATTTTCCATGTTCCTAGTTTGACAGTCAGGAAATTTTGATAGGTTTAATCTGTTAAGCCTCGCATCAAATCCTTGTTAACTTTTTTGTCTCCTATATGTGGGAGCATATATATATTTTCGTCTCCAATCAGGGCACGCCACGTGGAAAAGAATATTATCTCTTAAATTAATTAATTGAACCAGTTTATCTGGCCAATTAATTAATTGGTATAAATATCTTAATTAATGAGATATTATCTCTATTTAATAAGATAATACCATTAATTTAGATATTATCATAATAAAGAGAATATAATATCATTAATTCATAAAAAGAGATAATATCATTTAATTCAGATATTATCTTCAATAAAGAGAAGATAATATCATTAAATCAGATATTATCTAAGTCCGACTCGATCCCTACGAATTTGGGTAGAGAATAAACTCAGCATATTTTCTATGAAACCTTAGCCCCGAGGCTCCTATAAATAGACTACTTCATTCATTATTCAAGGTACATCTAAACCTTCTCCAGAACCTGAGAAAAATACTTAAAGCTCTCTCTCCCTCTCCACTCTCCATATTTTCTCCACACAGCTCCGGCCACCACACACGGCTCTGGCCGCCCGGTTCACACCATAAACACAACTTCATACCCTTTGCTTAGCTATTGTTTTCCTACAAACACTCGAACTAACTTAGGTATCGGAGGGCCTTCGGCCAACACCCCCCGGGTGTGGTCTATTTACTCCAGTCTTTTTTACAGGAATTGAGGAAGAGAGAAAATGAAGATCGAATGTTGAAGGATCACAAGGCGAATATTCTCCCGCGAGATTATTTGCACAAACACTATCCCTGTAGTTTCATGTTCAATCCAACAGCCACAAGATGTTCTTGTTCGCATATTCAGTTTCCTCGATTTAGTCTCTGTTGGACTAGTCTACTCAGAATTTATCAAAAAGAGCCAAAACTTGACCCTTAATTTCAAAAATGTCAATTTTTGTAAAAAAATTCAAATATAGCAGAAAACTCATTTAAATAGATACAAATGCCCTCAAATTTAAAACCCACATAAACCTAAAAAAGAAACTTATTAAAGATAACTTTGGAATATTTCCTCTAAACACTTTTCCAATCACCTCTCTATTTCTTTTTCATTTCTTTTTTCCTTCTTCCGTTTGTCTCCAGCATCACTCCCTCTCTTTTCCTTTCTTCTTCTTCTTCTTCTTCTTCTTCTCTCTCTCTCTCTCTCTCTCTCTCTCTCTCTCTCTCTCTCTCTCTCTCTCTCTCTCTTTTTTCTTCTTCTCCCGTCTGCATATCTCTTTTTTTCTTCTTCTCATCTTCTTCTCTCCCATCTGTCTCCAAATAAAATGTATGTATTTATTTGGGTAAAAAAAAAAATTTGTATTATTATGGCAACAATACGTCTGCGAACAAACTCTACATACAAAGATTCCCAATGTAATAGGGTTTTCTTTTTTAGGTTTATGTGTGTTTTAAATTTGAGGGTATTTGTGTCTATTTATGTGAGTTTTCTGCTATATTTGAATTTTTTTACAAAAATTGACATTTTTGAAATTAGGGGTCAAGTTTTGGCTTTTTTAATAAATTCTCTAGTATGCTCGTGAGTCGATAGGCTTTGAGGAGGTTAAAAGGGATTGATTTGACGATTATATCCTTGGATTTAACAGTTTTTTTTTACATATGGACTATTTAAGAGCACCTATATTAACGTTAGGGACCATGAGTAATACAAAAAAAGGATGCAATCTGATAGTTTCGCAAACGTCAGGGAGGTTTTGTGATAAAAAGCCTAATAATAATGACAATAATAATAAGTTAAAGGAGCTTCCTAATAAAAGAAAAATGTTGGAAAACGTCATGAAGAATCAATTTATGTTTTATTACAGTTGAAGCCTCCATTTCACCACCTACATATTCAAATTATAAGGAAATCGTCCCTAAAGTTTGGGGTATGAGCTACACGGTCTTCAATTACTCACGAAAAATATTGTTTTATCAAACAGCATCACATCTTATGTTGAATTGTTAATCTGGACCATATCGATCAAACATATTTTAGTTTGCAGATTATCAGTTTGACAAATTAATTATTACTAGCTAGCTAACATGAAGATGCTTTCACAAGTTAAGGAAACCTTCGAATTAAAGTGAACCAAATTGTAATTCTTTTATTTCTTATAATTCTTATTCTTAATTTTTCAGCTTCGCCATTTGCAGAAGTACATGACCTTTCATTTCATAGATTATTGTTTTTCCACAAGGCGATTCTCTAAATTACTCTAGTATGCAGAGAAGGGAATCGAACTCAAGTGTGAAGGGACAAAAAAACTATCTTAACTAACTAACATAAAACACATATATTATAATACAATTGATAAACAATAACCATGGACGAATATATTCAAGATTGCAGAAACCCAATGTCAACGAGTGCGTGCATGCTTCAAGGTTAACTGCATTATATTCTAAACACATGTATGAGTATTTCCAGAAGGACATGCCTTCCGGTAAAATTAATGAATATTAAAGTAACAGAAATCCCATAAACAAGTTTTGTTTTGTTGGCCCGGTCAAGGACTATTAGCTTAATTAAGTGGTTGTTGGAATCTGGTGTTACAAGCTTAAGAGGCGGTCCCCTCCAATCATCTTGTGAGTCGTGACAATAAACGAAGAGTGCTGTTAAACGAACCCTAAAATTGACTGAGTACATCATATGATTTAAGTACATCATAATATTTTAATCAAAATGTATAATTAGCTAAGTGCACCATATTTAACTACCAAAAATACCCATGGTACACCCTAATACACTCTATCACACAACACGCTAATACTGATCCTAAACCAAGTTTCTCTTTTAACATGAATTCATGCCCTCTTTTCAAATTTTGGGTTTCAAAATCTTTAATTTTCTAAGCTAGTGTGGGAGTAGATTT